AGGAATGCCCTTTACCCCAACAGTCCAAGGAAGCATGCCGAACCAAGTTCTAGTCCGCCCAAAGTTCCCAACAAGTTTACTTTTAAAGTACAGCCTCCAAGTTATTCAAGATATCCGTCCCAGTTCGATGGGGAAGATCGGGGCACAGTGCATCCACCCTCCTACAGCAATCCCCCCATCTATCATGGAAATTCTCCTAAACACCTCCCAACCATGAACAGCAGCTTTATGTCTCCACAGTTTAGCCCGGGGATTCAAACGAATCCTCCCAGGAGACCTCACGGTTCTACCCTTTCAATTGATATTTCTCCGGAGAGGTCTTACAGCCGCCCACCTATTGTACTACCATCTAGTAGAATAGAAGTCTTTCCTGTTGATATTGGTGCTGGGGGATATTCGGGCAATTCAGGGTCACCAAAGAATGGAAAATTCATCATTCCTCCAGTGGATTATTTGCCAGATAACAGAAAATGGTCAGAGGTTAGTCAAACACACAGACCTGAGATACACGGACAGTCCTGGACTCGAGATGCTACCCGTAGCCACTTAAGCAGTTTACCAAAATATCCAGCCTTCCAACACATACCCTTTCAGGACCATAACCTTCCAGTGGTCTCAGTAGATAGTCCAGTGCGGTATAAAACTTCACCAGCTGCAGAAGATGCTGGTCTATCTGGGTATCAGTACTCAGGGCCTTCGCCTCCAGCATATCACTACAGAAACCGGGATGGGCTTTCTATTCAAGAGTCAGTACTGCTGTGAGAATTTGCACTTGCAAAAGATAAGAGAATGGAAACCATACAAAACCCACATGGCTATGTTTATAATCGCCAAAGCAGTATTTTATACTATTGTAAACAACTCGCACAATTCTAATGTATGTTAGTAATGAGAATATATGGAAATGTTTTCATTCCCAAGTGGATGCTGCTGAAGATGAGCGATTGAATTGCATCATCACGGAACCTGTTCAAAAGAATTTAACCTGGAAACATAGCAATAGCATTGAGGGATGCACACACCGTATTAATTCATTATTCACTTTCATTTACGTCTTTCTCCAAAACCTGATCATTTTTACTTTGTTGGCCCATTTTATTTGGACTAATGTTACAAAATACTGAAAAACCTTATAGAATAGGTATTTTTAAGGTTGTATGTAGTGTATGTGACTTTTAAGAGCTTTGATAGGCATCTGTGCACATTTGAAAACAGAACTAAAGAAACAATTTTTTTTTTGCAAAGTACTTTTAATGTAGATCTGTGGGTAATATATTATTCTTTTAAACCTGTCTTTCAGTCCAGTTTCGTCCCCTCCCATTTTAACCCAGGTCATAAGCTGACTGAAGAGTTTGCCCTGACTTTATTACTGCAACATCTCACAGGATGCTTGTCATTATCTTTCAGTTGCTGCCATTTTCTTTCAATCATAAAATCAAAAGGCATTGGAGAAAAAAGGCCAACCACTTAATGGTGCTTAAAAGTCAGGGCAGTTAAAGTAAGTTTATGGTCAACGGTGCAATGTGCACTGCATCCATTTGCACCGAGACCGGTCTTAGTGCTTTTGGTGTCCTTGGCTCTGGGCTGACTCTTGCAGAGCTCAGAGCAGACTCTTCCTTGCCAGATGCAAAGGGAATGCTGCTGTAGGGCCCTCCGGTTGGATGCACAGGAAGAGTGGCCAGTACCCATCCAGTACATATGCCGGGCAGCAGAACCAATAAACTAAATGTTCATTTGAGAGCAGATTGAACACACTGGGTCTTACCCTAAAGGGCCTTGGGGGCCATTTATTTGAATTTTTTCTGGCACTCTTCCTTTAAACAGTATAGTCAATGGATGTCGCTACACTTATGACCATGACATTGTCCGTGTTGATATTGTAAAAACAAGATTCAGGTTATTAATGAGAGTCTAGAATTTGGTCTTTCTAAAAAAATATAGTATGACTTTGTACTTTCAAAAACCTTTTTATTTTCTCTTTTAGTAAAATTTAAAAATTCAGGTTTATGAATAAAAAATAGTAATGTCTTTAAAAATATTCTATTACACTACAGTTACCCAAACCAACAGTGTTTTGAGCACTCTAAGAAAGCATGACTTTGTGTTTCATTGGAGAGCTCATTTTCACATACATCGCTCAGATTGGAATGATCGAGAATAGAAAACCTAGCATCTATGGTTCTTCCTGTTGCAGTTTGAGGCTTTATACTTTCGAGGTACAAAAGTATGTCTTAATATGAAAGTGACATTTTTTAGCTAGTGAATGTGACTATTTTTTATGTATATAATGAGTCTAATGTTATTTTAATCAACTTGGTAATGATGTTATTAAATGGTAAAACAAATGCAGTGTATTAAAGCTTAACACTACACTGAAGCTCAAACAAAATCTTGATAAAATAACTGGGTTCTTGATTTAGATCATGTGGAAGCTGAGAAATAAATGTATATAAAAATGTAGCTGAGGATATTAATTCTGATTTTTAAATCTTGATTCTGTGACTTGTAATAAACCAAATCTAGACATTTTTTATCTGTATATTTCTTTTGATGTGATTGTTTTTAACATGCTAAAAGTAATAAGTATATTTTGTTTTGTGTCTTTTATGTGCATTTTTTTCCATATGGCTGAAGTGCTACATACCTGATAATTCTATTTTTCTTCTAATTGAGTAAATGTTGCCTAGCCTTTACTTACATATATATATATATAAGTATATATATATAAATTCTATGTTATATGCTTTATTCATTTCCATTAAGACTGTATTTAGAATTCTATCACCTTTATTTAATATGACATTATTAATAGCAATAAGATATTATTTCCAGTCTTTCCTATTATAAAATGTAGCTCTTTATGTTAGTTTTTTTAAGTAGAAAAATTTATTTCTAAATTATTTTGCCCTTATATGGTTTTACTCCTTCAAATTTATTTTCTAATAAAAGATAATAAAATACTGATAAAAGATGGAATAATACTGGTAAAGTCAAAAAATATATATCTATAGAAAACATACTTGGTGAGGATTTTCATGGTGTGGAGACTGATTTTAGACTGTAACTGCGTGCACACGGTGTAAATATTTTACCATTATTAAGTTTTTCTTCAAGGTAGTTTTGCCTAACATAAGCACACTTTGGTATAGTTTTATATTGTAATATATCGTTTGAGAAGTTAAAAAACATAGGGTCTCAGCTTTGATTCTTGTAGGTATTTATGTTGTGTTTGAAGTATATTTCTAAACAATGAACAGCTTTCTAAGGCTGGGAGATATGCCAATTCAGATGGCAAGTATCAGTCATAGAATGTTTCTTGGAAGAAAAGAGATTCAGCCAAAGGGACGTTTCTGGAGCAGAAAAATAGATGTTTAGAGGATGTGACTGTTTTAACTTTTTCCATTTGAAGAAGATTCTAATTCAAAATTATATTATAGTCAGTGTAACTTTGAAGTTACTTTCGTAGTTGTAGTCCCTTCAGGTCTCTCTCTTGGGTCCCATTATAGTGAAACACAGAAATAGTACCTGGTCAGAACTTTACTGAGATCCTTTTTCTCTTTAATTGATTCAGAAAATCTTGTCTACATTTACTCACAGAGGACCTGTGGCTTCACTGTCTGGAAATAAGATTATTCTCATTTAGCTTCTGAAATCACACCTTTATTTTAGTATGCACTTGATTGTGGGTTAGTAAGATTATGATTTGGGGATTTTTGTCTTAGATTGTCTTTCAATGGATTTTAAATGTCTACAACTAGCATGAATCCTAATATTTATCGATGAGATGGATTTAATAAGTTGAGCCTTACTTTTAAGGTGATCCAAACTATTGAAAATAGGAGAAGGGAACACATTTAATATTTATTTATGTATCTTTTCACAAGAATTTTTAGTTATCTAAAAATCTTCGCATAGACCCAGGGCCACCATAGGTGGTTAAGGTGTCTGGATCCCTGTGGCCAACTATGTAGTTCAAATCCTGGACCTGGTGGTTTGAGAACCAGGCTGGGTGCATTTGCATGCCCAAAATCCCAAAAAGAGGGCGAGATGGAGGAGAAGGGATTGTGGCATGACTGTTCCCCATGGGGGAGGGGGAGTACTTTCTCACTTTCCCTCTCTTTCTGTCTCCTGTGAGCACACATGACCTCTGACAAATTTCAAAAAAAGAAAATAAAAGTCTAACTATCATCATTTTATAGATGAGAAAACTGAGAAACAAAAGAACTAATTCAAAATTCCGTAAGAGTTGATCTTGAGCTTGCTGCTTTTTAGAATTATCTGGTAAACATAAACGGTGTGTGTGTGTGTGTGTGTGCGTGTGTGTGTGTGCGTGTGCGCGCTACATTTCCCCCCTCCCACCCCCAGACCACTTAAATGAAAATATCTGGCGTGGGGCCAGCAATGGTGTGGTAGTTAAGACAGCTGGATCCCACATGGCCAACTGTGTGGTTTGAGTCCTGGACCTAGTGGCCTAGAAAACATACCAGATGTGTGTGTATGTGTGTATGCCCAAAATCCAAATAGGAGAAATGGAGATGAGATTGTCTTAGATGGCCATCCCCGTCCATGCTCTAGATGAGATTGTCTTAGATGACCATCCCTGCCCTCGCTCTAGTCTCTCTCTGGCAAGCATCTGTGTTCTTATAGCAAAAGAAGGAAGAATGGAAGGAAGGAAGGATGGAAGGAAGGTATCTGGATATCAGATAATTGCATTCTCCTTGCCCTCCCATATTTTAAAGTTAACTCATTAAGTTCTTTCTCCACCCCTTCCCCCCGTAAAAAGAGGTTGATTATCTTATATTCCCACTGTGTCTTGAAAGGTTCTTAATAGATTGAGAGTTTCACGGGACCAGCAGTTAGCGTGATGGCTATGTCGCTGGACTCCCATGTAGTTGACTGTGGTTTGAGTCCTGGACCCAGTGACTTAAACTCATGCCAGGCGCGTGTGCATGTGCACCCAATATCCCGAGAGGAGAAGGGATTGCGATGTGGCCATCCCCCCTTGGGGGTGATTTCTCACTTTCTCTCTCTCTCTCTCTCTCTCTCTCTCTGTCTTTCTGGAGAGCATACACGCCCTATAGCAAAAACCTCAAAAAAAAAAGAGATTGAGAGTTTCAGAATTGAGAAATTCTGGTGTCAAGAGAGTTAGGGAAAATTCCACTGGAAAGGTTAACATTACCAGTCATCTCTGTAAATTTTGATGAACTACTGACAGATGTATAAATGGCTTCAAATGGAAAGTAGCATGACCATGTACTTTCTCTCATTTGCTACATATAATAGTCCTTCAAAAACAGGTAGAATCATACTAAGTTTCTATTTTCCTAGGCACAGCCTGTCTCTCATTTTCCATAAGTGTTATACTTTAAAAGGCCTAAGCTGTCTGGAGGCCTAAGAGCATTTTCAGTTTACAAGAAGCTGAGAAAATGCTCTGGTCCTTCATTTAGCCAGTCGACATTTTATTAATCATCTACAATGTGTACAGACCGTGTTTGGTTCATGTTTCAAGATACGAGCCGTGTTTTGTAATCTGTCTCAATTTTTTTGTTGGAGCTATACACAGGGTATTTTTCTAGATACAGAGAGACCAAATAGTGGGTCCTGTTCAGTAGCTCAGGGAAGCTTTATAAGGGAATTGCCTCAGCTGAACCTGAAAGGATTATTATAGTAGGCAGATGAAAGGGAGGAAGGAAGACATTTCTGTAGAGGGGACAGCTGGTGAGAGCAACTGTATGGTTATGTATGGAAAATTTGCCACTGTTACGTGCATGTGAGTTGGGAGTGGGTGTAGAGGGGAGAGAGACCAGGCCAAGCATTGAACTTGATCCTGTAGGTGGTGTTTGCCATGGTTATATTTACATTTCCAGGCTAGATGTAAGGGAATGAACCTGGCCATAGATAGGAAAACAGAAGGCTGAGACAAGTTTGTTACTCAGAAGGTGGTGCAGACCTTAAGGGCAGAGAAGAAGTTATAAAGAAAAGACGATTGAGTTGAGAACTAGTAACTAAGTCAAATTGGCAAGACGTGACGTTTTAATGGATGTAATCCAAATAATCCTGGCAAGAAAAATAGCTAACACTTACTGAATGCTTACTATGTGTCCTTGCACTGCGCTAAACATTTTAATTGTATTAACCCATTCAGTCTTCACAATAACTTTATGAGGTATGTACTTTTGTAATTCCCAGTTTATAGATGAAGAAATTAAGGCACAAAGTGTAAGTAACTTGCCCCACCAAATGACAATAAATAAGAGAACCAGGAGGACTATCAGATGACATAATGGTTACCTTGCTGGACTCCTTTATGGCTGACCATAGTTCAAGTCCTGGACCTGGAGGCTTGAAACTCATGTTGTGGGTGTATGTGTGCATACCCAAAATCCTGAAAGGAGAATTGAAGAGAAAGGATTGTAGTGTGGCCATCCCTCTTGGGGGTGATTTCTCACTTTCTCTCTCTCCCTGACAAGCACACTCACCCTATAGCAAAAATAAATTAATTAATTAAAATAAAATAAAAATCTAGGACTTGAATCTAATCTGAATCCAGAACCTGTGTGTCTGTCTCTCCCCCTAAAACAAGTTAAGGAGTTACCATTTACTTGCCATAAAATTTACCCACCTTACATGCATTCTTAGATTATTTTTCAGTAGGTTTACAGAGTAGTGCACTTTTAGAACATCCCCCATCACCTCAGAAAGAACTCTTGTTCCTTTGGTAATCAAGCCAATTCTGTCTCCCAAACACAGGCAACTACTGACCCACTTCTTTCCTGATTTGCCTTTTCTGGATATTTCATATACATGGATTAGACAACATGTGGTATTTTGCGTCTAACTTCTCTCACATAGCAGTGCTTTCATGAGTCATCCATGTTGTAGCATACCTCAGTGGTTACTTTGCTTTCTGTTGCTGAATGTATTCTACTGTATGATTGTGTCACAGTTGGTTTAGTCATTCACCACAGTTGATAAAGTTGTGAATTACTGTCACAGGGTGCTGTGACCATTTGCATATGAGTCTGTGTGTGTACAGAATAGGGTGCTCCAAAATGTTTATGGAAAAAAGGGAATCAAAGTACAAGTTTATTTTGTTGGCAGAAAAAAAATTAATTCATACATAGTTTTTCATTATATGCATTTTCCACAAACTTTTTAAGACACCTCCCATATATTTAAGTTGTCAAGAAACCAACAGACTCTTTTCCAAAGCTGCTGTACCATTTTAAATTTCTGTCAGCAATGTAGGAGGATCTGAATTTTCCACATCTTCATCAACCCTTGTGATTATCTGTCTTTATTGCAGCCATCCTAGTGGATGTGACATGGATCTCATTGTGGCTTTGATTTGAATTTCCCTGATAGCCTTGATGTTGAGCATCTTTTCATGTGCTCTTATGCTATTTATATATCTTCTTTGGCATAGAGTCTGTTTAATCTTTTGTTCACTTTTTAATGGA